TTATATTGATTGTAGAAATTCTCTTTAAATGCTGTTCATATTCTTTCTCTTTTGATAGTTCACTTATTTGTAAGTCTATAAGAGATTCAAGCTTTTCTCTTCAGAGAGATAACTTCTCATGATCAACTTTTTCAATATTTAAAGAAGAAAATTGATTTTTAATCAGAGAGTATAGTCTGTACAGTTAAGAAGACATTTTCTTTAAAGAATTATTTTCATTTCAATCAAGAAATCTATTTCAATTCAGTTCATTTCCAGAGTTAATTGATGAAAATGAAGAAGAGACTCTTTCTCTGATTATATGATTTAAGCTCATCTTTACAACTCTCAGAGCATAGTTCATACAGGTCTTTTCAAATCTAATAGCAAAAGAAGGAATTGAAGCTTCAATTTCTATTGCTTTAATAGAAGATGATTTGAATGCTCTCAGAATTCTTCTCAAGACTCTGTTTTGCAGACTTTGAAAGAGTTCAGTGAAATTCTCTTGATTATTTCACCAAACTTGAACTTCATAATCAGCTACTGATGTAATACAGGCTATATATAACTGTCTCATAGTCTGGAAGAATAGACCTCTCTCTGTATTTGATAGTCTGATTATGTTATTCAATAGTCTTTCTGCCTTGACAGTTCTTTGTTGAATGTGATATTTAAAATTCAACTTGAAGTTTAACCATACTCCTAATCATTTGACATTTACACTGAATTTAATCTCTCTATTTAAAAGAGTTAGAGATAGTTCTTTCTCATTGAATCTAGAAAAGAAATGAATTAACTCAGTTTTATTCATATCAAATTGAATTTGATTGATATCTGCTCTAATAAATATTTCCTTTGCAGCTTCTTCAATTACTTTCAAATTCTCTTTGATAGTTTTTGAGCTGTAGACTAGACCAATATCATCCACATAACTCAGAGATCACACTATTCTCATATTTCTATTTTTGAATAGATATGCAGTGTATATTCCAAATAAAATGAGTGAGATTGAAGATTCTTGCGATACTTCTATTTTTATCTCAGTCTTGTCTTATTTCATTCCATCAAAGAAGAGTTGTATAATTCTTTTAGATATAAAACAGTTAACTCATTTTATTAGAGAAAGTGGCAGTTTTAATATCTTCAATGTCTGAATTAACTTTGACTTTGAAACATGATCAAATGCTTCTTTTATATCAATAAAAACTGCAGTTAAGACCAGACTCTCATGCTTTGCTATTTGAATATTATGAACAACTGAGAGAATAGTGTCAATTGCAGTACACTGTTTTCTATCTCTTATTTATTCACTGAATAAAAGAGACTAACTTATAGAGCTTATAAAAGATAGTTAAGTAGCTATTATCTTTTCTAAAACCTTTTCTAGACAGTTCAATAGAGATATTACTCTATATGACTTAGAAATTGAAGTTTTTCTATTAGGTTTTGCAAGAATCACTTCAGTGGCTTCTCTCCAGCATTCAGAACAATATTCATTTTTCAAGAGATTGAAAAAGAGCTCAAAATATTCATTCTTTAAGTAGAAGTATGTATTTTGAATAATCAAGTGATTAATTGAATCAGGCTCTGCAGCAGTCTTAACTGAACTTGAGAAGATAGCTGACTCTAGTTCATCTTGAGTAAGATCAGGTCATTTTCATTCATTTTCATCAATATAGTTGAGATATGATATATTCTCTTTCTCTGAATCTGAATCTGATGAGTTTTGAAAGAGAGTTCTTATAAAAGCTTGACATTTTTTCTTAAAAGAGTTTGCTGTATATGATTCATTCTGAAACTCATATTCTAAGATTGGAAGTTTTGCTACACTTCTTGTTTTAGTATGATTCAAAGGTTGCTTAAGCCAGCGTACGATTACAGGCGTACGCCGGCTTCTTATATATTGTAATATCATATGCTAAATTAATTAGTGGCTGCTATGACCCTCTTTACATTCATACACTAGTTCAGAAGCAGCTGTGTTATTATCTGACAGTTATATGTTCTTCTAAACTACATCCTCTCTCATCAGATTCAGTCACGCTCATGTAATCATGTTATATACTCTAGCTTCATACAGATTAGCTCATCACTAGTATTTCACAATTATGTGATCTATCTCTGATTCAGCTAGCATTCTGCATACACTCTTACAAAGAAACTTTCACTATATTATATTACTCATTCACTAACTTTTCTCATTCTTCAATCATCTTCTTCATTATCATCATCATTGAACATTACTATCTCATTCAAGATTTCTACTTCTTCTTCTGTTCATCTCTTTCTATCTGTTCATCTATCACATTGTATGTGTTTCTGACAATGACCTCTCATTCTCACAACAAGTATCATCATAGTGCTTATATCAGGCAGTTCATTAGCAGTAAGTGTAACATGTTGTGAAACATGATCAGAACTTGTTTATCTTCTAACAATCATCAGAATGTATTATCATGAATAACATATCTTCTTCATCTTCTTATACATCTCTGATCATTTCCTTGTCAGCGGGTTTCTGATCATGTTTTCTGGCATGATTTTGCATGAACACAGATGCTGATATGTTTGTTTTTATTCACATAGAATCTTCACATGTTGACAGATCTGTGTCTGCTGATGATAGTGAACTTCATATTGAATCATTGATTGAGAACTTGAAGAATGTGATAATGAAGGAATTGTCTGTGTCATGTATAATCAGGTCTTCTGTATTTCTCTCTGCTCTCTCTGTTTCTTTCTCTGCTGCTTCTCTTCAATCTTCTACACCTGCCTCTGTGTCTGGTTCTCCTGCTCTCGCTACCCCTGTTTTCATGATCTCTGGTTTTGCTGCCTCTGCTTTCATTATCAGCTCTCCCTGTTTCAAGAAGATGTTGTGTAGACTTAATAAATCATGTTTTTCAGTGTGTACACTTCTGCTCTTCTTACTGACTCTTAGAATAATTTATTATATGAAGACTGTATACAACACAACTATCTAAAGCTCAGTTATGAATGCTGATTACTATATTCATTTTAAATATTTATGATGAGATAATTGTTCATTTATATCAGAGAATCACTCTCTCTCTCAACAGTGTCTAGATTATAAGTCTTTTCATTTTTCATCTTTTCTTTCTGATACTGATTTTTCTATTCTTAGAGAAAATCATTATGAATTTTACTGTGTATGAAGTTATAGTATTCACAGATATCAAGAAGCTTTTTATAACTGTAAAGTTCAATATTGCAGAGACATTCACTCTGACAAATTTCTTTGAGATGATAGATTCATATCAGTCTATTCTCTGATATCTATCATCTGACTTCATGATGCAGACAAAAGATATTCATGTTTTCAGAAATGAGAATGTGAATGTTGTACTCTTTTACACTCATGAGCATGAGACTTATATGCCTTGTCTGAGATGTCATCATGAAAATAAGCTGTTCATATACTGTGTTCTGCTTTCTGCATTTCTCTATATCTCTCTCTCTCTTTCTGAGAAGCCTCATGTGTGTTGTAATTACACATACAATTCTAAGACCAGTGAGTGTTTGTTCAGTAATTGTTATTCCTGCTTTTGTGATTTCATATACTAATAATAGTTCTTAGTTGCTCTAGCATCAGAGATCATTTTAATTGAAGATGATAATGCTGCTGAGACTATCTTCTTCTGTTCTCAAGCTTCTTCTATCACTTTCTCTCTCTTCTCTGCAGAGAAGGTTGTGCATACACTGAGTTATAAGTATTCAGCTCTGAGTGACTTCTGCTGTCATTTATCTGATTCTGTATCTTCTTCTTCTTCTATTTCTTCTGTCTTCACTTTCTCTGCTCTGACTTCTGATTCTGTGAGTTCTGCACTCTTCTTCAATTTCTCTACACATACACATGCACATTTCTATATTGGCATTCGAGTCAATCTTGTGATAAATGACATTAATGTTGTACACAGAGTGATAGAGAAATCAGAGACATGCACAGTGTTATTGTAAGAGTGGCTTGCAGCTCTTAAATTTCTTACAGATCTCAAGTTTTGAGATTTTCTTTGTTTTTGATGTTTTTCAGATGGCATGGTGTTGGAAATAGATTAAATGTATAACATATGAAAATGAATGAGATGTGTATGATAACATTTGTCTTTCACAGTCAATTCTTACAGTTGATGACTAATTCATTATCTCTTTTCTTTTCTTATACTTTTTCTTTATCTGCTAGTCACTACTCTTACATGACCTCTATATAATACAGTGTTCAGTGACTAGGTTCAGCAGCTTTCATCTTTTATAATTCTATCTCATGTATTATACTGTCTCTCTTCACTTACTCAGATCACTACAGTGAACAGCTCATTGAAACTAATCTTATCTGATCTCTGAGCATTCTCAGAGGTTAAGATGACTTGATCTCACATATCTGTGAATATTTCAGATAGTTTGTTCTCTGTAATCTCTGTGATTGAACTGATGTAAATAGTTGAATTCAACTCTGAATTTCTTTTTCTTCTGCAATCTGACTTATGTGCAAGTCTGCTGCTTTGAGACTGCTCTTTGTCACATTACATCTGCTGTCTGCAGCATGTTATTATATGATCAGCTACAGTCTTATCACTTATTAAAGTATGATGTTCATCTGATTTCTTCATTTCTTCTCATTCTTTTCTTATAATTGTGAAAAGATTGAAATAAGTGAGATCATTCAATTCATAAGCATCTATGATTTCTCTTACTTTGTAAGACTTCTCAATTGTAAGTCTCTTCTTTTTCAATGCTGATGATAGTGCTGTAGATAATTATAATTCACTCAAGTCTTGCATCTTTACTTTCATAAGTTATGAATTATTGATTAAGTTGTGTAAGATCTGTTCCTCTGATTCCTTCAATATATTAGTTCTCAGAGAATGTGATTTGAGTATTTTATATAATTCAAATCATCTAGATTGAAACTTCTCAGAACTCTCATTGTATATAAGAACTCACATTCTCATCTTGAGACTTGATTTCTTAACAAGTGAGTCTTGTATTCTTTTTGATTGAATTGCTCAGTTCAGAAGTAACTTATTAGCTTTTGCACATGCATGGCTGATCTCTTTCAATCTTGATTCTGCATCTGCAACTGTTGCATCTGCAACTGCTACTGCTGCATCTGTAACTGCTGTTTCTACTGTATTTGCAACTGCTGTTTCTGCTGTGTCCGCAACTGCTCTCTTCTCTACCTTTTTCAAAGCATTCTCTGAGATGCGCGGATGCAATTCATACAACAGGTAGAATGGTGAATGCTTGAAGACTGCATGCTGTTGAATCTGCATGGTCAATAGTGCCTGCCTGAGATATTCATTTCATAGTCTTATAGGCTTACTCACTAGATATTTCATTAGCATGTTGCTCAAGATTTTATTCAAGTGTTTTATCTTCTCATTCATTCATGAATAATATGATATTGTTCTATGATGTCTTGTCTGTAACTGGCTCATAAAATGCCTCACTGCTTCTTCTACAAGGTTTGCACTGTTATCAGTTAGAATCTTATGTGGTATTTTATAGTTGACATAGATCTCATTATATAGAAACTTCATCATCATCTTCTCTGTCATCTCTGAAACTGCTTTCACAACTGGTCAGTCAGTAGTATAATCAATAGCAGTGATTATTCATCAATTTTCATTTGATATTTATGATAATATATCTATGAGATTCATCTCTCATTGTTCAAACAGTTGTATTGTACACTTCATCTAATATTGTGCTTTCTTATGTTCTAATTCTTTCTTAGATTCTTTCATGACCTGATAATTCAGGCACTCCTGAGTGTATATCTGAATATTCTCAGTCATGCTTGACCAGTATACTCTTGATTTGAGTACACTCATGAGTTCAGAGCTTTCTAAGTGACTGAATTCCTTGTGCATGTGAGTTATCAAGTTATATTGAAATGAAGATTCTAGATAGAGAGCTTCTGCATATTCTAGATCACAGTAAAGCATAATATTGTTTTTTAATTTTCTCAGCTTGAAGTTCAGAAGCATCTCTTCTACTACTTTCATAAGACACTTGTTATTCAACATCTTGTCATTCTTCAAGTGAGAGATCATGATATTCACTCATTCTGATTCCTTGCATTCTCTCAGCACATTTAATGTGAATGTTTCTTGTACCTGATTCACAGAATTCTCACTCATGAAATTGAGTCTGTAACTGATTGCATCAGGCATCACAGCATCTGATTTCTTTCAGTACTTAATATAAAGATTGTACACTTGAAACTCTGAGATTCAATATACTAAGCATTTGAAAGGTTTTATTATTGATTATAGATAGACAAGGCTTTCATGATCTGTGATCATCATTATCATATGCCTGTTATTAATATATCTATTTCATAATACCAGCACATGCTTGATTGCTAGCAATTTCTTTTCATGCACTGAATAATTAAGCTCAGTGTATGATAGTTTTCTATTATCATACATTATCAGATGCAGCTTGTCATTCTTACTCATCTGTAGAAGAGTGTCTCTGATAGCTCATTCAGATGTATTCATCTCAATATAGAAAGGTTTATCACAATCTGATTAAATAAGCACTGAGAATATTGTTATATATTCTCTCAGTGTGAGAAAAGCCTCTTCACACACAGTATTTCAGATAATTGAACAAAACTTCTTCTTTTGCAGATTTGTATCTATTTCTCTTAAGAGATCTGAGAGTGATGTAGATATCTGTGTAAAATTTTTAATGAATCTGCAGTAGTATGAGATTAACTCAAGAAACTGTTATACATGATATATATTTCTCAGCTGCAGCTAATTCACTATGACATTCAATTTCTTCAGAATGAGATATATACAGTCATCACTCACTATATATTCTACAAACTTCAACTCTTTCATTTCAAACACATACTTGATTAATTTGATATAGAGCTTATGCTCTGTCAGAGTTATAAGCACTTTATCAAGATACTTCAGATATTCATTGTATGAGTTTGAAAAGACTAGAATGTTATTGAGATATACAAGACATGAGATTCTATTCTGTTTATGAAAAATCATATTCATCATCATTTGAAAGATGACAGGTGCATTTGTCAGATCAAATGACATTACTAGAAATTCAAACTTTTCTAATTATGTATTAAATGCAGTTCATGGAACTGACAGTTCATCTACACAGATCTGTCAGTATTCTGAGAGAAGATCAATCTTTAATAGATATCAGACATTTTCAACTGTGTTCAACTGTTATTGAATCTGTGACAGTGAATATTCATTCTTGATCATAAGCTTATTAATCGCTTAATAATCAATACATATTCATCACTTCTCATCTGTCTTTTTCATGAATAGAACTGGAAAGCCCCATGTGTTTAATGAGAATGATATGAGATTATATTCTAGAAGATCTGTGATCTGATACTTCTATTCTTCAAGATGTGTTTGTGACAGAGAGTATGCATTCTGATTAACTGATTTTGTATCTCTCATATCAATCTCATGTACAAATCCTTGTTCTAGCAGCAATTTCAATAAAAGATCTGTTTGAAAGATCTTTTCATGCTTCTTCAGAAGCTTCTTCAGAAGCTTCTTCATATACTTATTCTCTCACATATCTTTTATCTTGATTTTCTCTGCTTTCAGATCTCATATGATATACAGAATGCTTTCAGATAAGGTCTTGCAAATCATTCTCTTTGCTTATTAGTGTGTAAGCAGATTTAATCCTTCTATATCAGAGACATGAAATGTCCTTCTCATATTAGTTGATAGAATTGTATGAACTGTTTTCTTTCTATCAGTCAACTGCATATGACATGTACATCATTGAATCTGTAAATTGAACCTTTAAAATCAATCAAGTCTGAGAATAAGATCATATTTCATATTCTGCAGCTCTCATACTTAAATATAGCAAGATTATTCTCTGAAGTGCAAGAGAACTCTTACTCTTGCAGATAATATTAAATATCAGTTATTAGATAATCTTATTCATCAGAGATTCTTCACTCAGTAAATCTCTTTCAATCTTCAGATTATATGATTATTAATATATTGTGTAGAAGCTTCTGTTTCTGTTAACACTTTTACAGTCATCTCTCAATTCTTATTCAAGTGTCTCTTATACATTAACATTTCAGGTCTCAAGGTATTGAGATGAGTGTTCACTTCATTCTCACCTGCATCTCAGTCAGAAGCCTGCTTTCTCTTGACATTCACAGAATTCAGAGAGTCATCTAACACAGACATCTCTTTCACTTTGAAGACTTTTCATAGAATATCAGTGAGTATCTCTGAGCTCACTGATTCTGCTAGTTTCTTGACTCTCTTGCTTCTCTTGACTGTGCATGCTGAGTGCAATCTTTTATATCATGATTTTAACATCTACAGTTGAAGCAAGCTCAATGCTCATAATATCAAGATTTTCACTCAGAGAATTTCTTTTTTGAGAAATTCAGTGCTTTAGCAATGACATTCAGATCTAGATTCATTATATCTGAGTATGTAACTTGTGTCATAGAAGTCTGGTTATCTGTTCTCTGCTGAGACATACTTAATTGCAGTATTTTCTATCACAATTGACTCACTTGTTTCTGTATAATAAGAATATTGTATACTTTCTTCACTGTGTCTGACTGTGAGATTAAGCATTTTCATTCCACTCTCAACTCAGATGTAAGATCATGAATGAAGATCTGTAAACAGAAAGATGTTGAAAGCTCTTCATTTAATATGAGATAGTGTAAGCTGAAGTGTGTGAAGTATAATATAAGATTATTCACTTATCTATACTCAGTGAAGTGTTTATAACACTTATCTTATGTATTTACTTTCTCAAAGTTGTACAAGATTCATTTGAAAAACTTATTTCATATTTGTAAAAATGAATATCACTTCAGATCTGTGAGATTTATCTTTTCATCAGTTATTTATAATAACTTCACTTTTCTGTATAGAAATATAACAGATCTTAAGACTTGTTAAAATTCTGTTGACTGTCTGTCTATGAGTTCATATTCAATTCAATAATATAATTACATCTGACTTAGTCAGCTGATTGCAGCATCATTTTTTCAGTCATCATTGAAGCTTAATGACTTCAGCAGATCTTCTGACTTGATATATTTCATGCTCAGATTCTCATTCTATACAGTGATCTCTGATGATGTGTATGCTTCTGAAGAGATTATGAACAATTATGATGAGATCTCTAGATTCAGTATAGTCATCTATCTGTATAAATATTCAATCTTCTGCTGCAGGCCTAAGATCTGATTTTCTCTATTTTTATTAATAATGATGATTGTGTTGATGAAGCTCTTCATAGTGAATACTTGATTCACAGCAAATATCAATTATTGTTTAGCTTCTGTCTCAGCCTGCCACTGCATACACAAGATCTCAATCTCATTTAGAATCCTTGTATATATACAGAGCTTCAATTTCAGTTCAGCAGTTTCAGTCACTTTTCTTACTGCTTTAAGTAAACTCTCTGAAAGATTCTGCATATCTTTCAGTTCAGATAGCAGAGAAGAGTGTTATTCATATTAGCTAGAAGAGGTATTTATTTCAGTGATTTCTCATTGATTATATAATGTCTATTGTTATCACTGTATTATTATATTACTATATCATTCTATCACTATATCATTATATGATTTCTGTTATCATCATACAACTTCAGTGATAGCCATCTTCTTCTTTTTATTCTTCTTTTGAATAGAGAGCAGACTTCTTTGAATCTGATTCATCACTCTTATTCTCTTTCTCACATCTCATTCATTCACATACATGGCATTCATCTGAGTGTGAAGTTTTTCCTTAACAAGCAAAGCAGTATCAATCAGATACTCTTTCACTCATCACTCTTTATATGCTATCTTTTGAGACATTCTAGAATCACACTGGCATGATAACTACAAATCACTTTGTAGACAGAATTATTATACTCTGAAGAAGCCTGTGCTTCTCACCAGTTTTTAGACATGCTATCAGATGTAATTCAAAGGTTGCTTAAGCCAGTGTACAATTACAGATGTACACCGGCTTCTTATATATTGTAATATTGTATACTAAATTAATTAGTGGCTGCTATGACCCCCTTTACATTCGTACGCTAGTTCGGAAGCGGCCGCGTTATTATCCGACGGTCGTACGTTCTTCGGAACCACATTAGTATAGTTAAAAGCTTTAAAAACTTCTTTTTCTTGTGCTTCTTCAAGAAATTTATTCCAGCAATCTGTTTTAGCTTTTTTAATATCTGAAAAATAGTCATTTCTGACAGCTTTAAACTCTTTATCAGAAATTATATTATT